GTCACTGCTTTAGCTGAGGCAGAGCATACCAGCACTAAGGACAGGTACTGGAGGGGGCGTCCAACCTGAACATAGATTTACTCACCTGTTGGTGTATAATTCCAAACAACTGAAATAAGTATTACTTCCCAGAGAATATTGTGAAACAGATTGGGAGACCAGAACTCCTGGGTTTAAATTCAGGCTCTCCCACTGACCATCTATCTGTACATATGTTGTGTGACAGACTTTCTCTGGGAAGAAGCTGAAGGGACTGTAGCCAGTCCAAACATGGCAAACACGGCTCTGGCAGCCCTTACCCTTCTCCCCCATTTTCTTTGTCATGCTAAAAATCATTAGGTTACATTCCTAAAGCTAGTCACTGAGGTCAAGATTTCCCTTCACCAGTGTCTTTCAGGGTTCTTCTAGAAAGGTGTTATAATACTGTGGCTGTCCCCTTCTGGGTGGCCTATACAAAGTACAGAAGCGTGGGTAAAGCAGGCCCTAGTTTTCTCTTCCTCAGTCTGCAGACAATAGGGCACACCTCATGAAGCTATAGATGCATGCTTGACAGAAGACAACACTGTAAGAGGAATAGAAACCAGAGGCATTTGGGCAACTTCTTCATGTGACTTGCCTGTGCCTTCAGGACCTGCTCAGGCCTTATCACATATATGCCACTTCCATTAGTTAATAGATTGCTGCTGTGAATGTCCTATTTAATGGCTTCGTGGGTCAGATAACACACAGGTCATGATGGGAAGCTCCGGTTACATGGTAACTTGGTGGCCCATTGTCAAACTTTAAAAGTTTCCACTAATTCACACTAGACATTGTGCTTTTATTCTTGGTGGTATGAGGGGCCAGCTGTAGTGATATATTATTTATCATTTATTAAAGCTTGAGACTGATTTTGTTTTTCTGAATCCTCAATCAAACTTTAAGAAAAAGGGAGACACCTTGGAGCTGCCAAAGGGTTAACTTGCCAGGGCACTATAGGTAAGCCACAGCCTCTTGGCAATACAGAGTTTAATAGAAATGCGTTAATAAGCCAGGCGTTGGTGGCACACACCTTTAATCCCAGCACTAGGGAGGCAGAGGCAGGCGGATCTCTGTGAGTTCGAGACCAGCCTGGTCTACAAGAGCTAGTTCCAGGACAGACTCCAAAGCCACAGAAAAACCCTGTCTCGAAAAACAAACAAACAAACAAACAAACCAAACAAACAAAAAAGAAATGGGTTAATAATTAAGAGAGAGATAGCCAATAAGAAGCCTGAACCTTTGGCCAAACAGTTTATAATTAATATAAGCCTCTGTGTGTTTATTTGGGACTAAATGACTATGGGACCAGGCAGGACAGAAACTCTGTCTATAGCCAGGTTCAATAACTTATCCTTCACCTTAGAAGGAATATTCCTGCATGTCCCACTCCACTGGACTTCTAAGAATTTCTCTGAGGTAGAAGACAACTTCTAAAGTCTTACATTTAGCCTTTTCAAACATTATAGCCCTCACTCTAAAGGTCAGGGAACCAATGTGAGAATTCTGCCAACTTTTAAGTATACCTATCCCAGCAATACATTCTGGGGCTGGGGAAATAACCATAGCATGAGTTTGGGGACCTACTGAATCTACTGTGAGTCGGACATTATCCAAAATGTCATTAATCATCTGACCCCCATAAGTCCCTACTTTAACTGGAGAGACTCGGTAATTCTTGGGACCTCCTGGAATCAGTGTCAACTCAGAACCAGTATCCAATAGACCCCCAAAAGTCTGATTGTTCCTTTCCCCCAGTGTACATTTACCATTGAAAAAGTCACCAGAACATTCTAGGGAAGAACTGGAGAAAGGCCTTGGCTCAACCCCACACTCTGCTTTATCTGATCATCCAAATATCACACTGTAAACTTATATCATAGCCATCATTATATTTTACTTCTCAAGTATCTATGTAAGGATGTCTGGAATTTAGTCCCAGAAAGGTGGGGGCGGGGAAGCCCTACTTCCTATTTTGAGTGCAAGAGGAGAGATTTTAAACATGACTTTTCAGTTGTATTTTGAGATCTTGTGTTAAAAACATTGACTATGAACTGGTAATCCCCTGATATAATATTAAAAAAAATAAAACCCCACATAGTCACAAAGATATCCTTAAGCAAAATGACTTTAAGTAAATGAGCACTCCTGGAGACCCCTAAAACATGCCAGAGCTTTATCAGCAGGACTTAGGCACTTGGTATATGCTGGCTCAGTTATGACTTAGCAAATATGGAAATGGACTCTCCATTCCATGCATGTATTTTTAAAGATATGTTTCTTCTTAATGTAGATTCTGCAAGTCTTTTGGAAATGCAGGCTGTAGCTGACTCAAATGAAGGAGTAATGGAACTCGAAGACCATTATTGTGATCTATTTACAGGAAAAAATACAAACGTGGACTATAAACTTAGTAGCCTTCAAGAGGAACTGTCAGCAAGAAGAAACACAAGACCACAGTCACAGCAGGAAAAAGAGATATGGAGAAAAGATTCTTTCAACTTAAAGTATGTAATGCCAGTTCTACTGCACAAATGTAGGGGCATCTTGTCACTGTAGACTCAACTTCTTCAGGGGAAAAAAATGTTAGGTGTGGAGTAATTATAAGATAAAGGGTGTTCTTCCAAATCACAGCTTAATGGCTGCAAGACACCCATTAGATTTTTCTAATAACCAAATGCAATGATTTGAGGGATTTGCATTTTAATTAATGCTGCAAGGAGTACCGTTTTAAAATCTTTGTTGTTTTCTTGTGGGTTCTTAGTGTGTGTCAATGGAATGTTATGCTATTTGTTTGAATCCATCCACAGCCATTTCATCCACTGTATGTACTTTTCTGCATTCACATAGCAACCAAAAAAAGGAGCTATGTTTAAGTTAAATTAACTCCAATGAATCATATTTTATTCATTATCTTTAACTTTTCTTTTTTAAAAAATGTTTATTTTTAAAAAATAAGCTTACAAAGTAGCAGGCTTCCATGTGTAACTTATTTCATTTTGACTGGCTTTCCCCTTCTCCTCATCTCTGTGCTCTCCCTTCCTTGATGTGGCTGCCAATATTCTCCTTTCCAGTTTCTTCTATCATTTCCACCTCATTTTTCTAAAGCCTCTTTTCTCCCCTGTCTCATGGGACCTTTCCTATTTTCTGCCTTTACTCCCACCTGAATCCATGTATTCATATGGAAACACAAAAGACCACAGATAGCCAAAGCAACAGAAAACACAGCTGGAGGCTTTGACCTCAAAATATACTACAGAGCCATAGTGATAAAAACATCATCACATCAGCATAAAAACAGACATGTAAACCAATGGAATATAGTAGAAGACTAGATAGGGGAATCAGTGTGGAAGCTTCTCAAAACATTAAAAGCATAGCATAATATATGTAATATATAATACAGAGTGTTAAAAACACAGCATAATCCAAGGCATCGGCCCAAAGGTATCCTACCACAAAGATATCTGCCCATCCGTGTTCATTGCTGCTCTAGTCACAATAGCTAAAAAATGAAATCAACCTGTATGTCCATCAACAGATGACTGATAATGAGAATGTACATATATAAAATAGAATATTATTCAGCCCTAACTTTCTAGATCTTCATTTACTTTGAATGAGTTCTTCAGCATAGAACTAAATGGTTAAGGAACTTAAAGAAAGTGTTTAATCAGGTGTAGTGATGCTTGTCTTTTATCCTAGCACTCATGGGGCAGAGGCAGGTAGGTCTGAATAGTGAATTACAGGACAATCAAGGCTGTATAATGATATCCTATCTCCCCAAACTAAAATAAAAACAAACTTTGGCATTTCTAAATATCAAGAAAGTGTATCTTAATTCCCAATTTCATGAACAAATTGTAAAATGAGTATTTTTCTCGAGCTAGAAAATGTTTTAAGTGTATGTATGCTTCTGGTACTGTGGAGGGCTCATCCCAGGCCTTGTAGCAGCTAACAGGCTCAGTCTCACCCCAGATGTGGTTTTAGTCTTAACAAGCAAGAAATAAAAAGTGAACTGGAAACTCATTACTGTCTACATAGCACCTCTCCCTCACACATAGATAAAAGTAATTCAAATTTCTATGCTGAAACTGTCTTATTTTTTATTAGCTAATTCGTAATCCCTACTGTTCAAAATGGTATTTAAAAATGTGTATAAAACCTATAATAATGCACAAGATGAACTGAAAATATCATAGAAAAATGCTTAACAATGCAATAGCATCCATGTCTGGAGGAACACAGTGTTCTCAGCACCTGAAAGGCAGAGGCAGTAGGACCATCACAGGATAGAGGCCAGTCTGAGCTACAGATTGAAATCCCATCTAAACATTCACCCAAAACTCTGTTTCAAATACTGTTTGGTAACAGATGTTAGACTTCATGGCCCACTCTTAGAGTTAGCAACACATGATATTTGGAAAATATCTCAAGGTGGCCAACATAAACTTTTTATGAAGATAGAATTTTATTTCTAGTAAATTTATAAATTAGTTCACAATTTTATCAACTACTCTATAAACCTGTAAACTAAAGTCTTTTGTTTTGTTTTGTTGTTCTTTTTCTTTTTTTGAGATAGGGTCTCTCTACATAGCCCTGGCTGTCCTAGAACCAACTATGTAGAATAGGCTAGCTTTGAACTCATAGAAATCTGTCTGCCTCTGCCTCTTGAGTGGGATTAAAGGCATGTACCACCACACTCAGCTAACAGTAACTTTTTCAAAATTATTTAATTTTAAATTACCTGGTCTTATTGAGGAGATGTGTATAAAAGAACTTTCAAGTTTATCGCTTTATTGGGAAACCTATAATATTAAATAGAATTAGTAGTAAGAGAAATTGAGCCATTGGCAAAATGCTTACATCTTTACTTTCTAAGTGTAAGTCTTTTGGAAAAGTTCTAAATGAGAAATGAACGAAACTGTACTGGATAGTAATTAATAATCAGGTAATTTCAATAAAAGCATCTTTAATTGCAGATTTGCCTCACAAGGAGAGAAGACTTTGGTAAATGCACAGTTGCCTTACGGCAACATGGAAAACTCAAGAACTGAAAGACAGCAATACCTTGAGAAACTTGATGTGACACACCCTGAAATGTGTCCTTGGGCAGAAATTGAGGAAAAAACTTTGAATGAGGTGAATTAATCTTTGGTAAAATCTCATATTTCTGACTTTTTTTCATCAACATAACCTGTAACACTCCCTCGATTTGACACATATAGTTGTGTTTTGCCTATGGACAGGGACACAGCCTGAGAAATGTGGTGTTTGTCACTTTCACTTGAGGAAACCCTACAGTCGTGTGCTCTCACAAACTCTGTGCTTGCACAATCCCTGTACTCTACCACAGCACTATGTCCAGAAGTCTGGTGGGACCACTGTGTACATGTGGTACATGGAGGACCAGAAAAATTCTGTGGCATGTGACTTTTATTGAGACTTGAAATGTCATCTCATCCTAAAAGTAAATGATGACAAAGTTTTTGATTTTTGTTGGTTGTAAATCTTGGCATACAGTGGATGCTCAGTGTATATTTTCTGAATGATGGCATGCAAGGTAAGCCAGGGGCAACCAGTACCAGCATCTTGCCTGTGAACCTGTAACAGTGGCCACACCCCTTTGGGCGTGGCTTCATGCGGACAGAAGTGAAAATTCTAAAGCTTGAGGCATGGTCTCTCTCTCATGGGCTCTTTCTCTTGGGTCAGGGGATCCGATCAGAAGGGCAGAGAAATGCTCCCCCTGTTATTTACTATTATTTGTATAAGTGTTCCCTAATAAACACCCATTTGTCATTTATCTTTGGTCTAGTGAAATCATTACACCCTGGTCTTCAGCAACCCCTAGGATAAATGTCAGTTTAGGCATTTTTATGCTAAAACACAGGCTTACTTAGCTTTGAAATTATAATGATGTTAGTTAAATGTTTTATAATGTGATGTTAATTCCTGGTAATGTCTCTGCCTACATGAAAGAACTTCTTTTATTCTTTGATAAATTCAGGTGCCATTCAAGAAATTAGAATCTGAATAATTGTCTTAGGGTTTCTATTGCTGTCAAGAGACATCATGATCATGGCAATTCTTATAAAGGAAAAACATTTAATTGGGGTGGCTTCTGTTTTTAGAAGTTCACCTCATTATCATCATGGTGGGACATGGTGCTGGAGAAGAAGTTGAGAGTCCTATATCTTGCAGGCAATAGGAAGTGGTCTGAGACACTGGGCAGTATCTTGAGCATATATAAGAACTCAGAGACCACCTCCACAGTGCCACACCTCCTCCAATAAGATCACACCTGCTCCGCCAAGGCCACACCTCCTAACAGTGCTACTCCATTTGGAGGCTATTTTCTTTCAAACCACCACATTTCACCTCCTGGCCCCAAAGGCTTGTAGTCATATCATAATGCAAAAATACATTCAGTCCAACTGCAAAGTCCCCATAGTTTATGACAGTCTCAAACTTACTTAAAAGTGTAAAGTTCAAAGTCTCTTCTGAGATTCATGCAATCTCTTAACTGTAATCCCCTGTAAAATCAAAATAATAATAAAAAAAAACAGATCACACACTTCCATGATGTAATGGCACAGGATATACTTTACAATTCCAAAACATAGGGCAGGGAGGATTGTGAGGAAAAACTGGGTCAAAGCAAGACTGAAAAAACCAGCTGGGCAAACTTCAAACTCTTCCTCTCCATGTCTGATGTCAAAATGCTCTTCAGATTTCCAACTCCTTTTAGCTTGTTGACTGCAACACACTTCTTTCTCTTGGGCTGGTTCCGATCCCTGTTAGCAACTTTCCTTGGCAGATATCCCACGGCTCTAGCATCTCTAATATCTTGGGGTCTCCAAGGCAATCCAGACTTCAACTTCATAGCTTCATGCAGTGGTCTCTCTAGACCTCCATTTAGGGACACCCTTGATACATGCCTGGCCTCAGTGGCTTTCCTTAGATGTAGAGGCAAATTCCATAATCCATTTCTCTTATCAGTAACTCCAGAACCATGTGGCTGAAGGTGCCAAGTTCTGCTGCTTGCTGGGACTGGAACATGGCCCCCTCATTCAATTACATCTTCACCAGCTTTCTGTTTTCCTTCACTGACTAAATTGGGCTGTACCTCAACTTGCTCTGTAGACCAGGCTGGACTCAAACTCAGAGATATGCCAGCTCTGCCTTCAGAGTGCTGGGACTAAAGGTGTGCACCACGACACCCAACTCTAAGCTTTTCTTTAATTCCAGTTGGAAATTTAGCTGGGTGGGATCTTTCCCTGAGGTCACCACTTCCTTTATTACATTTCTTTATCTGTTTATCTCCTTGAATAGGGGATTTTGCCCTCCCAGGCAGATGAATTCATGGCGCCATCTATCTGCCTTTCCTCATGCTGTTCTTTCTGGCTTTTCCATGTTTACTATCTGGCCTCATTTATTTAGGAGCGGCTCACCATTTTCTGTTCCACAAAGCCTTCTCCAACTGGACTGGTTGTCCAAAGTCCATCTAGAACTTGTCTGTTCAGAACAGTTTATCCTTCAACTTTACATTGATTTAATTATTTCTGCACGAGAGAAAATATTGTCTAAAATGAATTAACTTGGGAGGAATATTAGATGATATATGATACTTTTTACTTAAATTAAAAACATATTTGCCTAAGGAAATATATATCATACCACCAATTTTTTCTGAGGACAGTGAAGCTTTTGTTTTTAATATATTCTGAGAAATTTAGTTTAAAATCAAATGCACTTAATGAATAGGGGACATTATTTAATTAAATGCTTCTGTTAGCCTCAAAATGGAAACATGTATACCTACATTCCTTCTTCATGTAGCCAGAACTAGAGATTGTAGATGCTTAGCACATAACTTGTGGAAAGCCCCTGTAGCGGCTTCTTTTATACACCATTCCACAACAGCTTAACACTCATGGGGTGTGGCAAAGCAGCCTCATGTGTCAGTGGTTGGGACAGACTGAGGACCCTTGATTTCACAATAGAGTCTATCGGTGGCTTTAGCCTACTCCTGGGTCATGTCACTTCCATGTCCCTTATTCCAGTAGATGTCATTTGCACTGTACTACACTATGACAGTCTACAGAGTGGTCCTAAGATCCTAGGAGGCATGGGCTATTCTTAGTGGGCAGGAGTACTATTGTCCAGCTATTGTGTGGCTTTTTCTGTGGAGATGTGACTAAATGTCTATTCAGCCTAGATACAACAACAATGACATACTAAAAGAACAATGCTGCACAAGATGGGTTGTAGTCAACACTGAGTTTTGGGGATCCCTAGAGTGGCACGGGGACATGGGCAGCTGCATCACTGAAAAGCCCACGCCAGCACAGTGACAGCTCAGACACTCTCTGCACAGCATACAGGCAGCTCTGTGGAAGAGTCCTTTCTCCCACAGGTATTGTTTGACTTCCTGGAGGGACCCCATGGGTCAGTATATTGTCAGGGTTTTGTGGTCATCCTGCACCTAATTTTCATGAGCTTCTGGGGTCTTGTGATCCCCATTCTCCTCCAGGAAGAGATGTTGTCATCAAGAGAAAACAGCTTTGGTCAAATTTCAAGAAGTACTAAGGATGCATTGGGAATCTCATTTGTCATAGGATGCCACTCTCTCTAAACTGAGAAAGGACTCATCAGGAAGAGCTCTCCGCTCACATATTAGAATATAAAATGTAATCTTGATGATAACGACAGTGGCAGATGTTATATGTAGCTTATAATATGCCAACTGTATATTCCCTAACAATATACTGACAACCCAATGTGGTGGTTTCTTTCAACATCTCCATATCATAGATGAAAAAACCAAGACAAAACATTAACTTGCTCAGGATGCCTCATGTCATAACTGTGGAGCTGAGATGGAGACACATGCATTCTGGCATCTGTGTAGACAGTGCTCCTGAAAACAATCCCATGAGACTTTGCAGTGGTTTAAATGAGAATGGCCCCATAGGTTCATATATTTGAATGCTTAGTCATCAAGAAGTGCACTATTTGAGAAGGTTTAGGAGGTGGGGTCCTGTGGGAGGAAGTGTGATGTTGGCCCATGCTAGGCCAAGTCTGTTATGCCTGTCATCATGTTCACTGCTGTGATAATGGGTTAAACGTCTGAAACTATAAGCAAGCCTTCAGTTAAATGCTTTCTTTTGAAAGAGTAGCCGTGGTCATGGCATCTCTTCACAGCAATGGAACAGCGACTAAGATGACATCTGAGGGAAGCATCATGTTAATTTTTATCATCATTGATATAGCTCCTCAAATATAGGTCAGTGAGGAGATGTTTGGAAGGAAAAAAATACATTATTAATACCACATGGGATTTACTCTACCAATTGTGTCACCTCAAATATCTGATAAATTATAGTTCAAAACTAATTAGCGCTGGGGTCATAAATACTTCTGGAAAAAGCCAGATAGTGTGATATTAGACTTCCCAGGTCACCAGGTCCTGCTGCTGTAGGTCTGCTAGCTCTTCAATTACAGCACGGAGTAACCATGTACGGCATGCAGAGGAATGGTCTGACTGTACTCAGACAAACATGAGATGGACAAGCTTGCTGGTCTAATTGTAACTTTCCCCTTTTCTTTGTCCTAGTTGCAAGAAGCACTGGAGATGCTAAAAGCTGCTGACACAATGTGCCGTAGGATTCAGAGGTATAACAGCATGCAGCTCGCAAAAACAGCTGGAGTGTTTATGAGGCAGAGAGGCAGAGTAGTGTGAGCCCCGCATCCACTCGAGCAGTGGTGCATGTGTGGAGAGCCGATGCAAATTTTATGCTTCCAGTCATTTGACTTGCATAACATAATTGCATGGGGCAGGGAGTTAACTCAGCGGCAGAGTGTATGCTTGCCTGCATAACGCCTTGGTCTCATCCACAAGCACCACAACAATAAAGGGAGAAAGCAATTATTCACACAATCTCCAAACTTCACAGCACAGCCAGGAAAATGATTCATCTACCAAATATCTTGTTTTCCAAAGAGTTTGCAAAATTACTTTTAAGGCAATTATTTAGAAATCATGTGGTATTTAAAATTCACCTGTGAGAATAATTCCTTTAAAATGTTTAGGATTGAACTTGAAAATTCCAACTTAATTGTCGCAACGGAAAAGCAAGCAAAGGAAATGGAAGCACTCTGGGGAAAAGTGTTAAGTGCAGGAATCAATGTGGTAAGTCAGTTTCATTGGTTTCTCATTAATGTCATTAATATGGAAGAGATGATGTTGTTTCTCGGGTAGTACTCCATAAGAGTATGTTATCTGGTATGAAAAGGCATATTGATAAAAATATTTGTATCAATCATGTTGCTGCTATTATTAGTAGAGATGTAAGTCCTCTGGCTTTATAGAAATGGGCTGAACATAACAAATGATTTTGGTGTAATTTTTAATAAGAGACAGTGGTGGTCCTGTTTCATGTATCAAACCATTGATGGGCACAGCCATTGATTTCCACATTTTGTTTGTCATCCACAGTGCTGCTTTGGACACTGTTGTGAATACGTCTGAGACTCTGATAAAAGTGTTTAATAACTCATGCATTTAGCAGCGGCCACATGAGGAATTCTGCACTTCTCTGATTGCCAGACTCTTACAGTTAGCTTCTATACTAGTTTTGCTTTCTGTTGCTCATAAAACATGGACTGTACAGGCTGGTTTTGTGTGTCAACTTGACACATGCTAAAGTCATCAGAGCAGGGAGCCTTAGTTGAAGAAACACCCCTTGAAATCCTGTCATAAGGCATTTTCTGGATCAGTGATCAGTGGGGGAGGGCCCAGCCCCCTGTGGGTGATACCATCTCTGTTCTGGTGGTCCTGGGTTCTATAATAAAGCAGGATGAGCAAGCCATGGAAGCAAGCCAGTATGAAGCACCCCTCCATGGCCTGTGCATCAGCTCCTGCAGCAGGTTCCAGCCCTGCTTGTGTTCCTGTTCTGACTTCCTCCAATCTGGAAGTGTTAGACAAATTAACCCTTTCCTCCCCAACTTGCTTTTTGGTCATGGTGTTTCATCACAGCAATAGGAACCTTAACTAAGGCTTGGACCAAAGCCAACCTGGGAAGAAGAGCATTTATTTCACTGTAGAACCTCCCCAGTCACAGTCCATAACTGAGGGAAGTCAGGGCCAGAACTTAAGGCAGGAGCCTGAAGGCAGGGATGGAAGCAGGGACCATGGAGGAATGCTGCTTGCTGATTTGCTCACCATGGCTTGCTCAGCTACATTTCTTAAGCAACCCAGGCCCACATGCCTAGGAGTGCTGCACCCTTTGTGGGATGGGCCCACCTATATCAATCAGCAATCCAAAAAATGCCCCACAGACATGCCCCAAGCCAATCTGACAGTGAAATTCCTCATTTGAGAGTTCCTCTTTCCAGATATGTAAAGGAGACAACTAAAGCTACTGTGACAGCTTTGGTGAATAAATGGCTTACAATTTCTACTACTTGTCAAGAATAAATACTACATCTTATGGAAGCATTTTTGTGCCAGAAAATTGTCCTCCCCTCCCCCTTTTGGAGTTTTAAAAAGAAAAATTGTGTCAGTAAAATAAAAAAAAAATAGACATGGTTTCTTGGTTGACTTGGACCTTGGACCTAGAGTAACCTAAGACTCCTAGCACTGACATTCATCAGTGTCTGGGCTTTCCAACCATGAAACAGTCTATGTTCCTGAAAAATGGTTGTATTGTTAATTCCACTGGTCAAGAATAAGACCACTACCACTATTTAAAGTCAAATTTGAAGCAAGCTTTATTTAAATACTGGCCAGGTGGATGGGCTCGGGCCAGGTGTCACATAAAAAATGGCCCTATGTCACAGTTTGCAGCAGCCTAAGTATTTCCTGTCAGGTCCAGTCAGGGGCAAGCATCCATCCTGATGTACCTCTGGCCTACATCCAATCAGAGGTAAACACATAATGTGACATATTTCCTGCCAGGGAACCTTGAGCACACCCAGTGCAGATGGGTCAAACAAACTAGTTCAGGGGAATGAAAACAAATGGCTTGTTATCTCCCATAAACAATAGCCTCCAGCATTTCAGGAACTATCTGTCTTTGGGCAAGGGGCTTGTGGATCAGAGGTACTTTTGTTTCATGGATCTCTTAAGCATAGTAATTAAAACTTAAAATGTAACTGTGGCTCTCACAATTATCACTAGGATTGAAATATGATTGCTATAAAATGAAAGGTGTGTTACCTATGCACCAAGCAGATGCTCTTGGCATCTTGGCATTGGTGTTTTTCTTCCTGGAAGCTGACGCCTGTTGCACTGTGAACACCACATTGGACCAGTTGCTCTCTGTAATGGTTAACCTTGACCACCAACTTGATAGGATCCTTAACCACTTAAGAGACAAACCTCTATCCATGCTGTGAGCTGTTATGTTAGTTAGGTTAATTGAAGTGGGGAGACCTACCCTAAAGGGGACAGCACCCTGTCAGGCCTGGGATCCTAGACTGTATACAAAGGAGAGAAATCTGGGTACCATTCATAGCTCTGGGCTTTCTGACTGTGGATCCTTCCACTGTGACTTCCCTGACATGATGGACTGAAGCTTCAGACTGCAAGCTAAAATAATCCCTTTCTCCCTTCACTAATACACCCTCACTAACAATTTTATAAGGTTACAATAGCTAGAGATATGCAGACCCATTACAGACACATTAGTGGAGGGACATCTGTATTGACTGTTTTCGTTGTTCTTGTGGGGTTCCTGGGATGGAACTCCAGAAACCTGTTAGCTCCTTTTCAGGTTGCAGTGTTTGTGATTAAGATTTCTGAATGGGTTTATTATCTTTGGAATTATGAAATTACACAGGAACTAACACAAGGTGATTTATGGCTGAGGATGAAATTGAACTTGTCTAGCTTGAGCCAAGGTCGGCTTTCAAAGCATAGCACTCGACACCCACAGAAACCACACACCCCCCACAGTGTGCATCACAGATATGTATTAGTTGTATTTAATACAGTTGATACTGAAGAAAAGTATTTGAAACTCCAGTACTGTTTTTCTTTATGGAGTTAATTTTTCGTTAGCATGCAAAGAAACCATGACATTTTCATGGTCATATGTCATCATTGTTGCTGCTTTTTTCCCAGACCCCACTGCCCTCCCTGTGTCCCCTTACTTCCTTTTGCTGGTCACCTTATTTTCCCTGGAGTGTCTCTTCAATAATGTATGTTCCATGTCTGGCATACTTACAGCTGCTGAGTCATGAGTGTGAACTGAAAAATCTCCAAGTAGCTCCCTGCATTCTGATGTGTAAACATCCACCTTTGTAACTGGTTTCAGGTGGAGGCAGCACCCAGAGGAGATCCAGGGAAGAGGAGGAGGGCGGATGCTGCTACCCTGTGGAGTCAGGCAGAGCTGATGAAGCTGGTTTCTGAGCTCTCAAAAATGAGAATGCAGGACGATTCTTGTAAAATGGAAGTGGAAAAATACAAGGAGCTGTATCTGAAAGAACTGAGAAGCAATAATGCCTTACTCTCGCTTCTTCCAAGTAGGTGAGTGGGAGAGAGAAATGCTGCAAACCAATCAGTCTCAAAGCCTTGAGTCTCTCCTGGAAAGAAAGCATTGTTGGGACTGAAGCATAAATCTTAGTGAACCAGGTTCCTGGGTTTGTCGAACGCGAAAGCTAAGTGGATATTGTAATTCTGGGAAGACTTATTGACAAATGAACTTACTTTGAAATGTTAATCCAGGACATTTCTGACTCCTGCATTCTTCATGGTACATCTATTTTTCTACCTTAAGTATTCTCAGTTAATGTAATCTATTGATTTTCAGGTGTTTGTGAAACTCTCTAGTTACCACGATTTATCATTATAACTTAATTATCAGTGTCTTTAATAGAGAAATATTGAAAGTGTAACTACTTTTGGAGGATTATTACCTAAACCCAGGCTGTCAAGTGCTGCTGACACTACTGCCCTGGGCACATTCTGTCATTGATAGTTTAACTTTCCTGTGGTTCAGTGTCACCACTAGAGGGAGCCACAGAGTGTTGGCCTTCAGCGTTTTTTCTCTCCTGGAAAGAAAGCATTGTTGGGATACAGGAAAAAGACCATCCCTGAGGGGAAGGGAAGCAGAAGTCCCAGCTGGTTAGACTAGTTTCTTGTTCTATGTGGGCACGAGTGTGTGACTAGCAGAAAATGCAGCCACACCTCGCGACCTTGGTAAGGTTAGACCTAACTGCCCGGATGCTTCAGTTTCATATTCTGTCTGCCTCTTGGCCTCTCTTAGACTCTGAATTCCTCCTCAGTGGCAAAGGCTCTATTTCATGGACAGAGGGCAGGAGTGAATGCTTTGGGGTGTATGCCCGCCTTCATCCCCTCCCAATTCTTGTTCTTTTTTTCTTTTCTTTTTCTCAAAATTGTAACCCACCGAGGCCAATTTTTGCTGCCCATATCCTCAAGGAATTGGGGCCATCTGCCGGAGGATTGGTCTACCTACTAGGGACGACAGCCTTAAAGAAAACCGATTCCCCCCTCAGAAGCCATAACTGTCAGTAGCTCCTCTGGTGTGGGGGCTTGAGAATCCTCCCCCATGCATGCTGGGGTATTGACTGCCTTGGTCTTGTTCAGGCCACTGTGAGTTCAGGAGGGCAGCAATACTGTTTGCCTCAGCCCTCCCTGACCTCGGGCTCTTACTGTCTCTCTGATCTGTTCTGCGATGGTCTAGGAGTCCTGTGGGGAGAGGTTGATAAAGGTGTCCCATTTGTGGCTTAGCACTCCATTGACTTATTCTCCATAATTTGGCCAGTTGTGAGTTTCTGCATTAACCACCGTCTTCTGACCATAGGAATTTTTTCAATGAGGTCTGAGAGTTGCACTAATCTATATCAATTTACAGGGCAGTTTGATACTGTGTTCACTTGGCGAAATAATGGTAGGGGTTTTACCTCTTGGGGCCTATGAGCTCCCCAACCATCGGTTCTTGAGCAGATTCATGGTACCACACATGTTCTCTTGTGAAGTAGATCTGATTCAGAAAGTGGTTGGTTACCCACATAATTTGTGCCACTGTTGTTTCCATGGGCACATCTTGCCATGTTGACCATTAGTGTAGCTTGCAGGATTCACAGCTGGGTAGAGACAGATGATGAGTTTTCTTCCAATCAACCTTCTGGTCCTAGGAAAGCTAGCCAGTGGGAGAAAGCTTCCCGGTAGTGCCAACTTGATTTCTCAATGCTATTGTGAAAGGGGTAGTTTCCCTGATTTCTTTCTCAGTCTGTTTGTCTTCAGTGTGTAGGAAAAATATGATGTTAATCTCCTAACCTGTCACATTGCTGAAAGTGTTCATTAGCTTCTAGGAGTCTCTTGGTGGAGTCTTTGGAGTCTGTCATGTAGAACCATGTCATCTGCAAACAGGAATACTTTGACAGCTTCGTTTCCTATGCGTGTCCCTCTTACTTCCTTCTCTTGTCCTGTTGCTCTAGCAAAGATTCCAAGCACTGTTGAACAGGAGAGGCAAAAGCAGACACCCTCAGCCTTGTCTTTTTCTGTGGGAGTTCTTCAAGTTTTTTTTTCTACTCCCTATAATCATGGCTATTGGTTTGCCATACTTTGCTTTTATTTTTTGGCATGCATTTTCTCCATCCATAGTCTCTCCAGGGTTTATCACAAAGGGATGCTAGATTTTATGAAAGACCTTTAATGCACCTAAAAAGATGATCATGTAGTTTCCGTCCTTGGATATATTTATGTGGTAAATTGCATTTATTGATTTACATATGTTAAACCATCTCTGCATCCCTAGAGTGCCCCGAAGTGAAGCCTACTTGATCATGGTGAGACTATCCTATCATTCTCCTCCTTTGTCAGGTCTTTATCTGGTTTGTGTGTCTGGCTTCATAAGAAAGATTTGGAAGTGTTTCTTACTTTCTTATTTTATGCAATAAGATAAAAAGAGTATTGGTATGTATTCTTTGAAGGTCTGTAGAATTCTGTGCTGAATCCATCTGGGCCTTTTGGTGAGGAGATAAATTTGAAACTTTATTTTTATCTCTCTGTGTATGAGTGTTTTTCCGGCATGCATGCATGCGCAACCCATGTAAAACTGGCACTGAGGACAGGAGGGGCTTGCCCTGGAACTAGAGTTATAGTTGTGAGTTACCATGTGCATGCTGGGAACTGAACTAAGGTCCTCCATCAGAGCAAGCACTCTTAACCACAGAGCCATCTCTCCTGCCCTACTTGGGAGGTTGTTTCGGGAGATGTTCAGATAGATGGTCTCTTCAGCATAAATATTTTTTAACTTGTATTGATTCTTTGTGGATTTCATATCATGTATTCTGATCCCACTTTTCTCCACATCTTCTCCCATCAGCTCTCTTCCCTTACCAACTTCCTTGCTGAAACAAAACCAAATTTACTTTAGTCTATTCATCTTTACTTGCCAGTGTGTATTGCCAGGAGTTACTGGTCTGGCTCAAGGCTTCCCTCTGGCCTCTGCTACACTACTGATAATGGGCTCTCACTGGGACTCCTGCTGTTGTCCTGTGGAGATCCTGCTGTATTGGATCTGTAGGGTCGTTCCCTTTACCTGCTCCAATAGTTCATAGATGAGGTGATATTGGGGTGGGCCAACTCATAGCCCTAGTTCTGGGCCTGGGTGGAGGGGAGCTCTCCAGCATGGCCTCAGCTAGCTCACCCAAGGCAGCCTGAAGCAAGGAGTGGGGCCAGTTCTCCTGCTCTCAGGTCCTCAGATCCAGGTCACCCACACTCACATCACCGGGGCCAGCTCTACTGTTTTGCCCAGGCAAGGAAGGTGCTAGTCCCTCTCTCCCGATTGCTACAGGGAGCATGGTAGGTAGTGGGGTGGGGGGAGGGTCAGCTCTCCTGCTCTCATGCCCTCAGGGCTGGCTCACTTGCATCCCTGACAACAGGGTCAGCTGTAGTGTACTGCTCTTGGCAGCAGCCCTGGTCTGGAGGATACCATGACCCTAGTTGACAGCAGTGGCCACTCAAATCAGCTTGGTCCCGGGGATAGCGGCATAGCCCTCAGACACCAACATGGTCACAGGTTGCAGCCTAGTCCCTGGGCTTCCATGAGTCCCCAAGTGGCTTCACAGGAGGGGGACATCAACTAAGACCCTGGCAGCGGCAGGAACACGGCCCCAGACATGGTCTTTGGCAGCAGCCTGGGCCAGGATGTTACCATGGCCCAGGTAGTAGCATAGGACACCCAGATTGGCATGGCCTTTGTGGCAACATGGCCCTCAGACATCAAATGGCCCCAGGTAGTGTCTCAGACCTCGGGCCTTCATGCTGCCCTCAGTGACAACAGGAGTCACGAACATCAACACAGGTCCCCTTGGCTGCTTCAGGGCCTCAGACCTGGTCCTTGGCAATATCCCAGGCCCAGATATCACCTTGAACTCAGGTGGCTAGCAGGCCATTCACATCAGCCTGTTCCTAATCACCCTCACCTCTTCAGATCTGCCTCTATCCTCAGCCCAAGAACCAGGGCTCTTGGTTGGGTCACAGATGGCACTTAGTTGAGTTCTGCCCACCCCAGACACAAGACATGGCAAGGAGCTGTTGCTTTTCTTCTCTCAAATGCCCAGTCCTAGAAACCACAGGCAATGCTTGGTATGATGGTGACCAAGAAGTCTGGGAGAAGTGGGGAGCCATCTGTGTCTTCTACTGGCTCAGGCCCAGATGGGAGATTTTTAGTTACTGCTTCTATCTCCTTTAACCTGATTTTATCATGGAAATTTTCTCTTTCACCTTCAATCACTATAGTGTTATCGGGTATATTAAAGCGACATTTAGGATCGTTCAGGTTTTCAGATTCAAGTCTTTCTTGCTTTCATGGTTTGGATTGACAACTCAGTGGTAACTTTGGTGGCACTGCCTTTGTATGTGACTTAGCTCTTCTCTCTTGCAGTTTTCAACATATTTTCTTTGTTTTGCACATTTAGTGTTTTAACTATAATATAATGCATGGAGTTTCTTTTCAGGTTCTTTTGTGTTCTGTGTGCCTCTTGAATCTGGATGGGCTTAGATTTGAGAAATTTTCTTCTGTAAGTTTCTTAGAACCATTTCCTATGCTCTGTGCATACAATTCTTCTCCTTCTTACATGGCTATGCTTTATGTCATGTGTTTTGCCTTTCCTGAAAACCCTAAAGCTCTTGCATATTCAGTTCATACATAAAGAATCTATACCATGACCTGATCTGAATTATCAAGTGTGTCTTCATATCCTGATACTTTATCTTCCACTATTGGTGGAACTTCTTCTTTGACCTATTGTGTTTTTCCTTTCCATCAACATTTTAGTTTGAGTTTTCTTTAGTACAGACACATATTTATTACTGTATCTTCATATCATTCAACTGTTTATGTTATCTTAGAAAATATATGAGTCCTTGTAGGCAGGGTTTTTCTGTCTCACCAGCCTGCTCCAAAATAACTACACAGATACTTACATTAATTATAAATGCTCAGCCTATAGCTTAGGCTTGTTACTAGCTAGCTCTTTCAACTTAAATTAACCCATATTTCTAATCTAAGTTCTACCACATGCCTCATGTCTTGTTACCTCATTTTGTACATGTCCTAATTGTTCTGCATCTGGCTCACACCTTTCTGAATCTGTCCTTCTTCCCGGTATTCCTCTGCCCAGAGAATCCTGCCTAGCTATCAGCCCCATCAGCTCTTTATTAATCAATGACAGTAATACATATTCATATTGTACAATAAGATTGTTCCACAGCAGGTCCTTTTCGAGTTCTTTTCAACCATATTTATATCATTCTTTTGTATCCTGATTCTGGAGTTTCATGTAAGTCATTTTTATTGAGGGGTCATTGCTATTAAATTGTATTTTAATTTTTATGTGCATAAGGGTTTTTCCTGAATGAATGCATATGCATTACATGCATGCATGGTGCCCATGGATGCCAGAAGAGAGATCCCCTGGAACTGGAATTACATATTTCTGTAAACAGTCATGTGGTGCTGGGAACTGAGCCCTGGGTCCCCTGGAGGAGCAGAAAGTGTTCTTAATCTTTGAGCTGTCTTTGAGGCCCAAGACTGGTAATTTTTAGAGGAGTTGAGTCATCTTGATTTTTAATGTTATTTGTGTTTTTGCCCTGAATCTGCCCATTTGGGGTTAGATTGCTAGCAAAGATTTCTTCTTTATTATTATTTTAATTCGAGTTGCCCCCTCCTCCTTCAGTGGACTTGTTTGCAGTGTTCAGGAGAGTCTAGGCCATAGTACAGTTGTGTTTGTCTACTAGACTGGTGTTCTAGGAACCAGACTCAATCTCTCGCCCACCCCTGTAGTTGAGTACCACCTGCAGCAACAGTCAGTATCCTATAGTTAAACCACTCTGCAGGAGACTACAAAAACAGATACTTGGTAAATCTTAATTGGTTTCGGGAATAAGGGAACCCAGAAAGCACTGTGTATGCTAATATGTTAGAATGGGTGGAAAGGAAGAGGAAAGTGGTAGGTCTTACATCAAGTTAGACAGGATGTAGATCAGAGGGTAAAGACAGGCAACCTCTCTCTATAACAATATAGTTATAAAGTAAAAACATAATATAATAAAGACATTTTATAAACCAGGCCAGCCTCTGGGCTTTGGGAGATGTAATAGTAAGAAGAATACTTACTATATTGCATTTGGACTCAACTAAAACTCAAGATTTTAGGCACTCCTGTAAGGGGTTTTCTTGATCAAATCATGTAAAGGGGAAAGAGAAAGGAATTAAAAAATGAAAAAGAAGACACACACACACACACACACACACACACACACACACACACACACACACGTACATGCATGCACAGGGTTGGGGAGACATGAACATTTGAGGACAGTGCTTGCTACAGCACCTTACTGTGTTATACTAGTGAGGAACGGCTGTAGGGGAAGGAGAAGGGCTGGGTGGAGTATTGGGGTCACTGGCAGATAGTAAGAGATGTGGTGAGGGAGAAGAGTTGGATAAAGACGTGAAGGAGACCCCTGACCTGAAGACTGATTTCCTCTCCTTGGTGGATCCCCTGCTACATCTCTCTGGTCCTGGACTGGGCTTCGTCCTATGTTGACTTTTCTCATTCCTGTCCTTTATGGCCTCCCAGTTCTACTTGTGTGTCTTTTGTGGGCTGTGGATAGCTGAGGAAAACGCCATTTAGCCACCAACTGCACACCCACAGGCCAAGGGGCTGTATGGTACCCACAGCACCCTTTAGAGCTCATGCTTAGCCCCCACTGCTTTGCCTCTCCCCTTTGGGGTGCTCTTGGTGGTCCTGACACAGCTGATCAGATCCCTTCTATGGAATCCCTACGTTTTAGATTTCTTGGTAGGAATCTGGACTCATTGGTCATAGTTGTGGCAGCAAGTCCAGTCCAGTGGGAGGGAAAGTTTGTGGGCCCAATGGTAGAAGGGGTTTGTTGATGAAGTCAATTGCCAGACTGGAGGAGCAACTCTGACGGGGTGATAGGATATTCCCTTTCACTTTGTTTTCCAAAATTATAATCGGACATTTGTCCAAATAGAGCTTCTAATCTGCCATTTTACCTAGAAGTCTTCAGAATTTTTTCTTTTAGTCACTAAACTGTTTTTTCTAATTGCAGGTGTGTTTTTCAGGGTTCTCTAAAGGAACAGAACTTATAGAGTGACTATACACACACACACACACACACACACACACACACACACACACACACACGGGATTTATTAGATTGGCTTACAGGATGCAGTTTGAGTAGTTCAACAATGGCAGTCTGGTATTGGAGAAGCTGAGCATCTGGTATCTTATCTGCTCAGTCTTTGAGGCTGGATGTCTCAGCACTTGAGGATTCCTGGAGAGCTGCTGGTCTTCAGTCTATGTTGGAAGCCTGAAGAAGTTGGTTCCAATATTGGTGAAGGAGAGCCACAGCAACAGATTAGATGAATTTTCTAGAAAGAGTGAGGGCAAGCAGAACAAAAGAGAAGTTTCTATTTTTCATGTCTTTTTGTTTGGGCTGCTACCAGATGGTTCCACCCACATTTAGGGCCTTTAAATGATTTAAATGATTTGATCAAGAAAACCCCTTTCAGGAGTACCTAAAAACTTGAGTTTTAGTTGATTCCAAATGCAATCAAGTTGAAGTCCAAGGTCAGCTATCACAATAAGTATTCTTTTTTCTTTTCTTTTCCTGTCCTTTTAAATTTAATTTTTCTTTTCTTTTCCTTCCTTCTTTGCATCCTCTTCCTTCTTCCTCCTCTTCCTCTCCCTCCCTCTTTCTCTTTCCTTCTCTCTCTTTCTCTCTCCAAAGTTTCTCTCTGTAACAGCCCTGACTGTCCTGGAACTCTCTTTGTAGACCAGGCTGGCTTAGAACTCACAGAAATCCTTCTGCTTTTCCCTCCCAAGTGCTAGGATTAAGTTGTGCCAGCACACCCAGCTCAAATATTCTTAACTTTTTATTAATTATATGTATTTTAGTAGTGCAGCATGAAATTTGAGTATGTTCACATGCAATGGAATTATAATTATCAAGTATGGCATTATCTTGCATTACCCTTTAGAAATGTCAATCTACAGAGGTGCATTAAAAAAAAATCAAAGTAGATTCTTTCCATGGGCCATAGCTTTAACTGTAAGCCACATATCATTCATTGATGGGGATTTTTCTCCATCCTGTACTGTTTGGTTCACTAGTTGGTTCAAAATTTCCCTAGAAATAGATATGTGTTTTTTTGTTTGTTTGCTTGCTTGCTGTCCTTTGAGACCAGATCTCACTCTACAGATGAGGCTGGTCTGGAACTCACAATCCTCCCGTATCCACTTCCTAAGTGCTAAGATCACAGCAAAATGCTTCTATGCCTAGCTGTGTTTCTTGAGAACAATCCTCAGCCGATATGCAGTCAGTGTCCTGTCACTGTTTCATTGTAAATGTACAGTTTTTAAAATGTTCATTTGATTCTGATATCCTCATTCTCTAAGAAGCAAGCAAGGTAAGCACCCAGCAGTCATTTGGGGGAACATGAGACATGTCCAGTGTTTACATCTTTCAATCTGTGCAGAACTTGCAAGTGTCCAGAGGGGTCGAGTGCAAATCTTGAGGAGGAGATGCGGTGGAACACCTCTGCAATGGTGGCCATTGTAGGGGCTCGCCCCGAGTGCCCTCAAGTGGCGGCATATCTAACAAGCAGCAGCATGGAGTCACAAGGACATGTGTCCCGCCCCTCCCAAAGCCCAGAAGTCAGCCGTGAATTCATGGAAAATCCTAAGAGCCAGGTGAGTTGCCTAATCATTCTTCCTTTGTGTTTTAACATCCTGGCATCAGTCCGTGCTTAATTTGGGTTATTTAGTTGACTTCCGCTTAGTAAGACAAGGTCACAATAATGTGCATAAGGAAAAGAGAAAATTTATAATTAAAAAATATTCGGAGGAGGAGTTGATCTGGGGGAGGGGCTGGGAGGAGTGGAGGGAGGAGAAACTGCAGTTCGGATGTAATGCATGAGAGAAGAATAAAAGTTAAAACAAAACAAAACAAAATAAAACAAAACCAACCTTACCCCAAGCTCTCATTTTCAGTACCACTTGTGTTAATACAGCAAACAAATGGACACAGATTGGCTTTCTTAACGCTACCCTTGCAGTAGCTGTCAGAAATGGGCATGAGTAGGGCTGCGGGAGTCCTGAAGTGTTTAAAAAGATGTGCAAGTCTTCTTATTTAAAGAAATAACTTTCTACTTATTTCTTTCCCAAGTCTGAAGATAAGGAAAAGGCGAGGGAAAGACTGGTGGACTCAGTGCACGCTCTGATCCGTGCTTTGCGCCGAGAAGCAAGGAGGACTGGAGTGTTACAAAAAAAGCTAGCCAAGTAAGGGCTTAGTGTTTCAAATCTCTCCAACCATATTTGACTTAACCATAATGCCATGGAACCCAAATACAAATTCACACTGAAGGTACAGTTCCGTAACATGGGCTTCCAGACACTTGCAGTATGACCTCAACCTTTTGAGTGTCAAAATATTGCATTTATACTTTAGTGATTTTAAAAACAGTAAGAATAATGCCAGCTGCACTCTTCTTCATCAACCTTGAATTTTTATTTCTGTGGATTCTTATCATCCATTTCCTTTATTTTATGCTAATAATAACTTGATTCAAAGTAAAAGAGTGTCAACCTTGTTTCATATGAATGTTCATTATTGGTAATTAGTACAAAAAGAGGGAACATATACTACAATTATGTCACACAAAAGACTTTCATTTTTACAATATTTTATCGTTTAAGATATCATATGTACACATAATATGTTTTGATCAGATCAACTTCCGTATTCCTTCCCTCCAGTTTCTCCCTGTGCCTCTTCCACCATTTTTTTCTCCAAACTTTATGTGCCTTTTTTTTTTTTAGACATGCCAAGTCTCTTAGTGATGCTTGTATGGGGATGGGTATAGGACCATCTACTGGAGTATGGCTAGCCTTGCAAGTACTGCATCCCTAAAGAAAACTGATTCTCCCTCCCCCACTATCCATTAATTGCCAATGGCTCCTCTTCTAGGGGGTGGAGGTTTGTGAACCCCTGTGCTGGAGAGTTTTGTGTTAGTGTGACACAAGCTTGTGTCATTTGAAAGGAGGTAAGCCTGTAGGCCATTTTCTTAATTAGTGATTGATGGGAAAGGGCCCAACCCATTGTGAGTGGTGTCATCCCTGGGCTGTTGGTCTTGGGATATTTAGGAAAGCAGGCCGAGAAACCCATGGAGATTAAGCCAGTAGGCAGCACCCCTCCAAGGCCTCTGCATCAGTTCCTGCCTCCAGGTTCCTGTCCTGTTCCTATCCTGGCTTCCTTCAGTGATGGATTATGATGGAGAAGTGTAAGCTGAATAAACCCTTTCCTCGCCATCTCGTTTTTGGTCATGGTGCTTCATCACAGCAGTAGAAACACTGGGACAGCCTCTTTCCCCATTCTTGCTGGGATTTTGACTGGCTTAATTGTGTGCAGGTCTTGTGCATGTAGTCATTGCTGCTTTGAGTTCATGTGTGCAGTAGTCCTGTTGTGTCCAGAAAATAGTTTTGCTGCATGCAGATGCCACTACATATGGCTCTTGCAATCTTTCCTTTCTCTTCTATAATGGCTCCCAGACCTTGGAAAGGAGGGAATGTGATATACATGTCCCAGTTAGAGGTGAGAACTCAGTCTCTTTTTCTCTGTGTCTTGGCCAGTGTGGGCCACTGTATTATTCACCACCTACTGCAAAGAGAAGTTTCTCTGAGGAACTTTGAGAGATACATTAACCTATGGGTATGCAGATAAGAATGTAGAGGGGATTGTGTCACTATGTCCATTGACCATGTTAATAGTATAAGTTTTCCCCTAGAGTCTATGACCTACCCAGCCATAGATTTGGGAACAGTTAACAGTTGCAGGCATGAGTTTGGCCTTGTGGTGTAGAATTTAAATCCAATCAGAAAGAGGTTGGTTACTCCCGTAACTTTCATGCTGCTGCTGCACCAGTGGGCATTTCATGCTAGACCAGTCGTTACTGTAGCTCTCAGAATTCACAACCTTCACAGCCGGGTGAGACTGGTAATCATTCTTGGAGACCAGCTTCTGGGGACAGGCACAGCAGGAGACAGGAAACGGGGAGAGAAAAGAGAAGGGAGAGGAGAGAGAGGAGAAGAGGGAGAAGAGAGAGAGAGAGAGAGAGAGAGAGAGAGAGAGCCAGTAGGTAAGAAGCACCCGGGTGAATTGGTTCCAGCTTGATTTCTTCATGAAATGTGAAACAATAGGTGGTGTCTTCAGCAATGGGGTCTTACTATCAGGTTCTGGGGGGTAACTAAAAACAATGGCAATAATCTGCAGTGTTTGGGGAGAGTCAATGGTGGTACCCCACTCATCAACATTTCAAAAAGAGTTAACTAATACCTGGCTATAGATTTCGTTTGATAGATAGTCTATGGTATCTGGGAGAGGTGTTGTTCCCTGTTATAGTGTAATTCCTTCTATATGCATATATGCATATATTTTATGAAGTTTCTATGGGAGTAGATTTTCATTTGTCATTTTCAAGGGTCTACAGTTTAGTTATCTCTCCCAGCATTCCCTCCTCTACCCTGCCCTCCCATCCCCAACTCCATTTAATCTTTCCATTGTCCTGCCTTCTGTGGGTACTCCCAATTTAAACACACATGTCTACAAAGCTAGCATCCATGTGTAAGAGAGAACATGCAGCATTGGTCTTTCTGGGTCTGGGTCACGTCACTCAGAATGATTATTTCCAATTCTATCCATTTTCCTGAAACTTTCATTTTTCTTTATGGTTATATAAAGTACTCTTGTGTATAGGTGCCACATTTTCATTATCAACTCATGAGTTAATGGGCATCTAGGCCTTTTCCATGTGCATAGAGCAGAAACGAATACAGATGAGCATGTATCTCTGTACTAGGGCATGGGGTCTTTTGGGACTATGCTTGGGATCGTGTCTAGCATTTTGAAGAATATCCACCTTGATTCCCATAGTGGCTGTACAAGAATGCACTCCCACCAGCAGTGAATAACTGTTTTCTTCCCTACATTCATGCCTGCATTTATTATTTTTCTTTCCTACCTTAAAAAAAAAACCCAAACAAAAACTTAGCATTCCAGACGTGGGTAAGATGAAATGTCACAGTAGTTTTTATCTTCATTTCCCTGATAGCTAAGGATATGTCTTGACATGTAAGTTATATTTCTCAGCCATTTGTATTTTTTCCCTGAAATCTCTGTGTTCATTCTAGCTTAGTTGCTGTTCTATTGCTGTGAAGCAACACCATGACCAGGGCAAACCTTATGAAGGAAAACATTTAATTAAGGACTTGTTTACTGTTTCAGAGGTGTAATCCATTATCATTATGGCAGGCAGCATGGTGGCAGGTAGGGTAATAGTGGAGTATTGTCTGAGAACTACATATAGGTCTGCAGGTGCAGGGGTGGAGGGAGAGAGGGGGGAGAGGGAGGGAGAGAGAGGGAGGGGGAGGGAGAGAGAGAGGGAGAGAGATACAGAGAAAGACAGACACACACAGAGAGAGAGAGAGAGAGAGAGAGAGAGAGCGAGAGAGAGAGAGAGAGCGAGAGAGAGAGAGAGAGCGAGAGAGAGAGAGAGAGCGAGAGAGAGAGAGAGAGCGAGAGAGAGAGAGAGAGCGAGAGAGAGAGAGAGAGCGAGAGAGAGAGAGAGAGAGAGAGAGAGAGAGAGAGAAATAGACAGACACACAGAGGAAGGGGGAAACAGACAGACACATACACAGATGGAGAGAGAGAGAGAGGGAGGGAGACACACACAGAGACAGACACACACACACACACACACACACACACACACACAGAGAGAGAGAGAGAGAGAGAGAGAGAGAGAGATTGGGCCTGGCATGGACTTTTGAAACCTCAAAGCCCACCTCATGTGAACTACTTCTTCCAACAATACACCTACTAATCCTTCTCAAATAGTGCTACTCCCTGGTGACTAAGCATTCAAATATATGAGTCTATGGGGAGCATTTTCATTCAGACCATCACATTATACTCTCTGGCTCTCATAGACCTATAGCCATATCTAAAGCAAAATGCATTTAGTGTACTTCACATGTCCCCATAGTCTTTCAGTTTCACTCACTTGGTCCTTTAGCTCAGTTGTTTGCATCAGCTTTCTGTTGTTGATAGTTTCATGCTGTTTTTAATTGGGTTGTTTGTTTTCTTGGTGTTCAGCTTTTTTATGTTCTTTGTGTATTCTGCACAGCTGATAAATATTTTTCCCACTCTGTAGGCTGCCTCTTCACTTGGCTGATAGTGTTCTTTGCTACATAGGAGCTCTTAGTTTTACAGGGTTCCATGTACTGAGTGTCGATCTGAATGCATTATTGGAGTCCATTTCAGAAAGTGCTGAATTTTCAGTGAATTCAAGAATATTCCCCCACTTTCTTCTCTCTCTGCTGGTATGTCTGTGTATCACATGGGTGCCTGCTGCCCTTGGGGGATAGAAGAGGGATTGGACTCTCTGGGACTAGAATTACAGATAGTTGTGAGCTCCATGTGCATGCTGAGAATCAAACCCAGGTTCTTTAGAAGACAGTGTTCTTAACCACTGAGCCATCTCTCCAGTCCCGGAATGTTAATTTTGTAATCTGTCACATTGCTGAAAGTGTCCCTTACCTCTAGGAGTCTTCTGGTGGAGTCTTTGGAGTCTGTCACGTAGAACCATGTCATCTGCAAACAGGAATACTTTGACAGCTTTGTTTCCTATGTGTGTCCCTCTTACTTACTTCTCTTGTCCTGTTGCTCTAGCTAAGATTCCAAGCACTGTTGAACAGGAGAGGAAAAAGCAGACACCCTCAGCCTTGTCTTTTTCTGTGGGAGTGCTTCAAGTTTTTTTTTTTTCCTACTCCCTATAATCGTGGCTATTGGTTTGCCATACTTAGCCTTTATTAAGTTGGTATATGTGGTCTCCATCTCCATTCTTGTCAGGGTGTCATGAAGGGATGTTGTATCTTTCTTTTTATTATTTAAATTAGAAACAAGCTTGTTTTATATTTCAATCCCAGTTCCCTCTCCCTCCTCTTCTCCCCTGCCCTGCCCCCCACCGACCCTCTGTCCCCTTTTTCTGCTCCCCTGGGAGGGTGAGGCCTTCCATGGGGGAATCTTCAAAGTCTGTGTAGGGAATCAGAAGAAAGAGGGTGTCCATGTCCGTACAGATGTGGTTCTCTCTAGTATTTTCAGTCTGCAGTTGAGAGCTTACAGATGTGGAAGGCTGAACTGTGTATGGGGCCATGTGTATAAAAGCTCATGTGTGACCTGCACACAAAGAATGTAAACGATCTCACTCTTTCTCTACCAAATCAAAATTGGAGTGTTTTCTGGGATCTTTGCTGATCCCACACATGGCTGCTGTTATACCTACTCTCTGAGTATTTGAGTTTGTTTGCTGAGTGTAATCAATATTCTCCTCCCACTCAACTATTTCTGTACATGGTTTTTATTTCATGCATTTAGTCAATATTGTGTTAGCAGAGGTATACAGTGTTTAAAAAGTCACAATTCTTTCCTCATTCTTTCTCTGTGGACTTCCTCCCTCCCAAACCTATTCTGTCTTACTTTCCCTCTCTATAGAAATGTCAAGAACTTTTTCTGTTTGTTTTCAGCTATGAACCTCTTGATGCCTTGTGCTTGTGCTGGGAGTGTGCTCACAATGTGGCTTATGTGATAGCACGCTTCTGTGTCTCCCAATCTCCCTGGTGTTTTCTTGTGTGTGCTCTCTTTTCTTCTTATAGACCACATTCTACAAGTATGAAAGCATATTTTATACATGTTTTGAAAACCATTATACAGAGTGTACTTTATCTTCTTCACCCTGGTTACTGACTTCTGGGTTATAGCTAATAGTTAATATTAATTTAATGCTCTCTGTTAACATACTGGGATGGATATTAATCATTATAAAATTTTGTATGAACCATCTGTCTGCCATGCATAATAATTGTCCTGGCTAGTCTTATGTCACCTGGAGACAAGCTAAGAGGGGAGAACCTAAATTGAACAATGTCTCCATAAGATCCCAACTGTAGCAGACAAGCCTATAGGGCATTTTCTTGAATTAGTGATTTATGGTCCAGCCCATTGTGAGTGGTGTCGCCCCTGGGCTGGTGGTCCCAGAGTCTATAAGAAAGAAGCCAGGAGGAACAAGCCAGTAAGTAGCATTCTTCCGTGGCCTCTGCATCAGCTCCTGCCTCCAGGTTCCTGCTCTGTTTGAGTTCCTGTCTTGGCTTCTTGGCTTCCCTTGATGGACTGTAATTCAAGATATACATGCAAAATAAATCCTTTTCTCCCCAAGTTGTTTTTGATCATAGTGTTTCATCATAGCAATAGTAACCTAAGACTTCAACTATCTAAGATTTGATGTAATGTAAATGGTTTCAAAAAAAGGTGCTTTGAGACAGGATAGTGATTTACAGACATCCCCTACAAACAGTAGGGTATAATATTTATTTGAACAATTACTGGGTATTTACTCATTAAAAAACTCTCCTTTGTCTTCTTGCAGAATGAAGAAGATCTTGAATATGCCCCCAAAGGAAGGACATGGTTTTGACGACAGAAGACACTGTTTTCATGAAGTTTCAAAAGTCAGTGAAGCCAAAATGAGCATTCCAGTTGCCACGATAAGCCTTGAGGTAATCTGTAACCAGTTGTGGGATCACATCACTTAATCTTGAGAAAAACAAATGTCTGAAAACATCTAACAGCCAATGAAGACTGAGCTATAATATTACATACACATCAGGGAAACACATGCCTTGTTTTCATTTTTTACTAGAAAGGCACAGGATTGATCTTCTTGCCTTAAAACTGGCTTCTGGATAGAACTCAGTAGCACACCATGGCACTGCTAAGATTCACAAGTAGGAAGTCAGGCTTTCTGTTAACAGCTTTATTGGCACACAGTGCATGCATAATTAATAGCTCTTAGTGCATGCATAATTAACAATCCTCATCTTCCATGGTCCCTAATTTGACAGGAAATTCTGGAGACACACTGGCCTCACTGTGAGAATTTACAGAGGAAGGGTGCTGTGCAAAGCCTTCTGTGTAGTGGTAGAGAGATTTCCTGTGCTTCTGTGCTTCTCGACAACATCATTTGATGATGTTTATTCAGTGCTGTCTCACTGTTTTCCAGTTCTTCTCTAAGGAACACTAACCTCTGTGGTGGAAGTGGCTCTCTTACTAAGTCTTTTTCAGACCAATCTTTTCGTTTGTTCCTTTTAAATTAGTTTAGTGGCTTCAGACATCTCCTTTCTGAATCTGTGGTTTGGGAAACTCTGGAGAGCTGTGTCTGTCTCTGTGCCTCTCAGCTGAGGTTGGAACCGCTTGGTGCCTAGGGTGCTGGGGTGATGTCTGGTTTCGGGAGATGTTGCTGTTATCCGGGGTTGCCTCTTTGCCTGGGGAGGCAGCCAGAACTTCAGAAGTGGAACATCTGGGCTGGGAGGTCATGCGGGGTGGCAGCTAGAACCGCTGCCCCAGACCCCACTGTAATACCTGGGCTAGCTCTGTGACTTTGTGTCCTCACAGGGTAGGGTGGGGTGGGGTGGGTCCCCAAGACAGCACTCTGAGGTGGTTTCCTAATTTAATGTTGAAAGTTGCATGAAATCTCCTTATTCTCTATTCGCCTTTCTCTGCAGAATGGCCACGAAAGGATGGCCTATCCAAAGCCAGCGTGCTCTGCTCTTTGTCTGAAGTGGCTTATGTCTCCCATTGAAAACCACAGCACCTGCCACTGTTCAGTTGTCATGACTTCATGATAACCTGAAGCACAAGGTCTTACCAGTATCATCAAGTCCGGGTGGGGCTATGGTCCCCAGGGTGTGGTTACTAGAGTACTGTTCTTTGCAACAATTTCTCTCTACGTGAAGACTTCAGAGCTCAGGAGACAAGCTGTCATCACCCACACACTATATTCTGCTAACCTGTCACACCCTTCCCATCTCACAGACAGAAATGGGAGACACACAGGAGGCACCCCCCCACATGAGACTTCAGTGAGCAATCAGCCCTCAGTGTCTAGTGATTCTTCAGGACTCTTTGCTGAGTCCTCTGGGCACTTTCTTCTCCTTCTTACCTAACCTCTCTTGGGCTGTGGATTGCAGCATGGTTATCTTTACAGCTAATATCCACTTATGAGTGAGTACATACTATGTTTTTCTTTCTGGGTCTGGGTTACCTCACTCAGGATGATTTTTTTTTTCCTAGTTCCATTCATTTGCCTCCAAATTTCCTGGTGTTCTTGTTTCTTATAGCTGAGTGATACTCCATTGGGTAAATGTACCACACTTTCTTTATCCATTTCTTGGTTGAGGAACATCTAGATTGTTTCCTTGTTCTGGAAACAATGCTACTATGAATATAGGTGAGCAAGTGTCCTGGTGGTATGATTGAGCATCCTTTGGGATATGCCCAAGACTGATATAGCTGGGTTTTGAGGTAGATTGATTCTCAGTTTTCTGAGACACTGCCACACTGACTTCTGAAGTGGCCACACAAGTTTGCACTCCCACCAGCAGTGGAGAAGTGTTCCCCATACTCCACATCCTCTCCAGCATAGGCTGTCACTTGCGTTTTTAAATCTTAATCATTCTGACAGCTGTAAGGTAGAATCTCAGAGTCCTTTTGATTTGTATTTCCTTGATGGCTAAGGATGTTGGACATCTCCTTAAGTGTTTCTCAGTCATTTGAGATTCTTCTGTTGGGAATTCTCTGTTAAGATCTGTACCCCATTTTTAATTGGGTTATTTGGTTTGTTGATATCTAGTTTTTTGAGTTCTTATATATTTTGGAAATCAGTCCTCTGTCAGATGTGGGGTTGAGGAAGATCTATTCCCAGTCTGTGGGTACTGTTTGTCCTATTGATGGTATCCTTTGCCTTACAGAAACTTCTCAGTTTCATGAGGTCCCATTTATTATCAATCTTAGTGCCTGTTTATTGGTGTTCTGTTCAGCAAGTTGTCTCTTGTACCAATGTGTTCAAGAGTAATTCCCACTTTCTCGTCTATTAGGTTCAGTGTATCTGGATTTATGTTGAGGTCTTTGATCCACTTGGACTTGAGTTTTGTGTAGGGTGTTAGATATGGATCTATTTGCATTCTTCTACACTTCAACATCCAGTTATATCAGCACCATTTGTTAAACATGGTTTCTTTCTTCCATGGTACAATTTTGGCTTCTTTTTTGAAAATCAGGTGTCCATAGGTATGTGGATTTATGCCTGGGTCTTTGATTTAATTCCATCAATCTACCTATCTGTTTTTATGCCAGTACCAAGTGGTTTTTATTACTATAGCTCTGTAGTAGAGCTTGAAATCTGGGATGGTGATACTTCTAGAAGTTCTTTTATTGTCATAACTTGTTCTTAAGTTACATTGTTCACCATTAAAAATCTCTAATTCATTATTTTTTGTATTACACAAATACTAACACAAGTGTAAATCAGAGCTGAGGATATGGAATGGTAAAGAGCTTGCCTAGCATGTGCCAGAACATGCTTCCAAACCAGAGCAGGAATCTAAATTGTTTATGTTGTTATTGTTAATTTATTTTATTTTAAAATACGTGTGTGACTGAATGTGGGTATGTGACTGGTGTGAAGATGGTATCCACTGATGCCAGAAGAGAGTGCTGTATCTTCTGGAATCCGAGTTATAGGAGGTTATGAGCTGTCAACCAGGCGCTGGGAACCAAACTTGGTCCTCCAGAACAGCAAAAAGTGCTCTTAACCACTGAGTCATCTCTCCAGCTCCTAGATATAAACCCTATAATAGTTGTTACTGACTACACATATTCAGTCCTGCAGTGCACTTTTTCATATATTTAAATTGTTTGCTGAGTTACTGATGCAAAACTAGAGTATTCAACTCAGAATGGGTCCTTTGATTTGGACTTTAAATAACGTACCACACCATTTTCATTTTAGGGAGAAGCAGCAGCGAAAGAAAACTTAGGGTGTGTTCAAGAGAATCCAAGTGCCGCAGTCCTCACTCGGATGGAATCTGAAATGAAAGATATCAAATCTGCCATCTCTGAAGTGAGCGCCCAAGAGCACGCGGTTAAAAAGGAACTGGAAACATTGAAGCATCTCTATCGAGGAGAGTTAGAGCACATAGATGGGATGTCACAGGAACTGCGTGTGTAAGTGGGAAGGAGCCAGCTACAGCAAGCCAAGCCCGTGCCTGACTCCCCACAAAAGCCACTGCAGTGCTCAGTGAACCCCGTTCATGAGATTTGTAGACTGTGAAAGCTATCGAGACAGCGTTAATTCTGGGAAATGTGTTGATAAATGAGCCACCTTTAAAATGTTAGTCCAGGACGGTTTTTATTTCTCCATTTTTCATTACCTACGGCATTTCCTGCTTACTATTCTCACAGAGTTGATTTAATCAATTCGCTCTTTAATTGTTTATGGAAATCTCTAGGTGACAGTTTGTATTATTACAAGTTGCATAATTATAGGTTAATTTTCAGAGTTCCCATAACTGTAAACATCAAAAGTCTAGCTGTGTTTGGAAGATTATAACCTAAACCCAAGCCTTCAAGTGCTGCTGCACACTCAGGCATTGGTAATTTAACGTTCCTGTGATTTTCATTGTTACCACTAGAGGGCGCCTGCAGAGTGGCTGCCATTTAGAGTCTCTCCCTGAGAATGCTTTGTGGGAATACAGGGAAAGGCAAGCAGAAATCCAGCGTGGTTAGGGTAATTCCTTGTTCAGTATGGGCGGGAATGTGTGGCCGACAGAAAGAGCAGCCCCACCTGGCCACCTTGGTAAGGATGCGCTAATAGTCCCAGAACCGGTCACTACTTTGGAGCTCAACTTCATTTTGCTGTTCCGAATTATTCCTGAGACCCAAACACTTCCAGCCTATGAGTGGATAAACAGGCGAAGAATTCCTTGGGTTTTTTTTTTTTTAACATCCACATATTAGTTTAATAAATACAAATATTCTTGCCCTGTTTTCCAGCTTCGATCTATCAATTTTATGTATTTAAGGCTTAAACATGATGTATTAATAAATTTATACCGAATGAAACGCCGACAATAATCAAATTGACACACCTTCACCTTACATAGTTACCTTCTAAGTACAAGTGTTTTCTTCTTTATTATTAAGTTAGTTTTGGGACAATCTCATACATGAGTATAATACATTCTGGTTACTCTATCCCTCCACCGTATCTCCTTCTCACCCCAATCAACTTCCTTTCTTCCCTATTTGCCTCTTTCCCCGAATTCATAACTTCTGGGTTTGTTTTGTGACCCATTTAGTTGAACCAGGGCCATCAACGTGACCATTGGATTGGGATCCATTGGAACCTGATGGTATCACGAATGGGCACACAATTAAAGGCAAGGAGTCCCCATTTCCCTAACTCTATCAAGAGCAAATAGTTCAGCAGTGAGGGGTGGGGCCCCCCGAGCCTCTAGGGTATCTGTTCCTGGCTGTTGCTGGTCCCCTTCTTGTGCAGAAGACCCAGTGCAGGCATCTGCGTTGTGGATGGGCCATGACTGCAGTGGGTTGTCCTGCCCAGAAGTGAGCAGTTTGGAGACTTCCTCCTGCTTTCTGTTTTGCAGGGTTCCCCAAGCCCTGGAAGGAGATGGCATAGATGTCTTGTTTGGGACTGAGCCTTCAACCATCTCTTCCTCTCAGCATTGTAGGTACAGTGTTTCCAGAAGCTCTCTGAAGGGTCGTCTGTGCAGAACCTTCCACAGGCCACAGGGTTCCTCCTGATGTGTTCCACTCCCCTTTCATTCTGGAAATCCCTCAGAAACGGGTCTCTTCAGAATGATTTTAAACTGACAGTTGTTTGCAGTAACTATGTTCTGCTGGGTTTTCAGCATTGAGACATTACACAAAGAAACTCATCGCTTCTTATGGCAATTAAAATCTGCTCCTTTAGGGGAAAACGCGATGTCAGTTTCTGCCCTTTGCAACTTCACAGCTCTATTCAAAGCAAGTGGAAGGCAATGCACACCTCAAGGGCACCGTGAATCACAGGCGGGGGTGGGAGGTGGAGGAGTGGGGAGGGAGGAACTACATTGCTCCAACAGAGCCCAGGCTCTCTCCCAGAAATGTTTGTAAGAGCTTAGGAATTCGCAGAATTTTCCTGCCAAGAGAAAACCCCTGATGACACCAACTGCAAATTCACGCACCTGGAATGAAGTTGGGGACATTCCTGAGGGGGCTTAGTATTTTTCCTCTAGGTTTCAGATTTCTGGTATGATTCTTATCCTTAATTTATTGAAATACCTAACCTATGTAATTGACTTGAGCTTGGTTGGGTATGGCCATAATAGGCATTAATTACAAAAGAAAGCAAGGTTTGAAATTTACTGAAAAGGGCCGAGATATACCTTTCTTAACTTGATTTAATGTCTTTTTTTTTTTAGGATGCATTTATTTCTTTTTAATCCACTCTTACATTAGGTTTTAGAAATTAATGCAACCTCTAACTACAGGCATACTGCAGTGTCTTGGCTCAGCTGTAACCACAGACATACTGAAGTGTTCTGGCTCAGTTTCTCAGAGGCATCAGGGTGGTTGTGCCTCATAACCGTCTTAGAGTTTGCCTGCACCATTGCAAGTCCACTACCCCAAGGCATTAACTGAATGCTTGACAGAAAGATACATAGCTCCATATGGATATTTGTATTTAAAGGAATTTGAGATGGATGCTTTTTCTTAATTAAGTAAATATACAATACTAAAACAACTAATTTTTTAGCCATTTTCTTAAAAAAATATTTCAATTGCTATTTATTGATCACATTTTTGCTTATATAAAATATTTTATTGCTGCATACTTTTTATTAAATACTTTATAATATATACTTTAAATACTAATTGTATTTATAATGGATACATACCTTTCTACTAAATACTTTTTAAATACTTTAAGCAAATATTTGAAGTTTCAAAATGAAGTTCACATACGCCTATCTTGCCTTCTTCACAAGAATGAACAATGGCTTAGGTCGCAGTGATACTAAGTTTTTAAATAGCAACTAGTGCAAAGAAGTGAATCACTGCTCTCTCTCAGAAAGCCCTAGAAGCCTGTCCATAGTCCCCGTTTCCCCTGGGAACATATTAGGAAGTTCCCCATCCAACTTGTGATAGTTCTTTGTATCATTCATAATAAACATCCATTCTGGGAAGCTAAAAAATGGTTCCGACAATGACCATCTCAACCAAGCTTAATCAGTCAAAGAATATATAAATATGCCTGATTTATTTGAAATGTTTGTCTAGTGTTTGACCAATTTTTGGCCTAGAGAAAAATTTCGTAAAACATTCCAATAAAGTACAATAATGCAGCTGGTGATTTTCACTCTTTGTGGGTATTATTAGATTATCTGTCTGTTTTCTGGGTGCATTGGCTCATAGCTTTGGTAGCATTTTATCTTAACACCCAGAACAGTAGTACAGGCCTGTGTTAGATGAGGCCTCAACTTTCTTTCTCAGCTTATCCTGACAAAGTCACAGACTTTAGAATGTAACCTTCCGTAAATGGTTTTACATACAAATAACTGAAAGAGCAACAAACAAATTCTGTTTTCTTACATAAATCAGGAGCACCTAGGGAACTAGTTTAATTGCCGTTTGATGACATAAATGATGAAATCCTGGATACCTGACAGTTCTTAATACTTTGTTAGCATAATTTCATATTTTCTGTATGTGTGGGGAGAGGACCAGGGTCTGCATGCTTCAAAATTCTGAGCCTGGACTACTCCATGCAAAAAGAAAAAAGACATCAGTTGTCAGTTGCTCCTACAGGGATTGAATCGAGTATGACACAAATATGAGATGCCCTCTGTAGCTCCAAGTAGAGACATCTGAGACTGCATTGCTTTTTAAGACTGCATTGCTTTATAAGGTGCTGCTACTGTCTTTATTATAAGCAGCAGGGCCTCTGACATAATTTGGAGGTGGGATGGGGGTTTGGAGGGGAAAAGAATTCTGTAGTCAGAGAAGACCTTTCTGAGCATGAGTTTGTCAACTAAAGGATGAAGAGGAGTCAGACATGTGGCATTCTGGATGAGGAGGACAGCGGCCAAGTCTGTTCATCAGTTAATATTTATGTCCTGTAATAACCAGTAAAAAGAAAGTATGTGCTCTTCTCCTGCTTCTTTTCTTTCCCCACTCTCTGTTTCTTTTCTTCTCTGTATGGCAACCGACCATGGCGGTCATCCACTTACCCCTGTTCCTCCTCTTAGTCTCCCCATTCTGCCGGGCCTTATAATAAACTTATAGTCAAGATGACTCAGGCCTCAGCATTCCTCTTTTCTTCTTTTTAAACAAAAGAATAACATTTTGGCGCCCGACTTGGTTTAGGCTCTCTTCGTAGACCCTCTCCCAAAGCTAGATAGTCTTTGGCGGGATAGTCTTTCTTTGTAACTTTTCCTGTCAGGAGCATGGGAAATCTCGGGGATCCTAAAATCTAAACTCATAACCCACTTCCATTTCCGCTTTCCTGGCACTTCCTCCTACCTTAAGCAGCCTGAGATTCTGGAACTCTGTACACTTCAACTCTCCGCTTTTCCAATTAAGGATCTGTGGAACCCACTCATCTACATGTTCGCTACAATCCGGTAAGATATCCCTTTTCCCATGGGGCAGACCCAGCACTGTTCACTCTGGGTACATTTTTTTCGGTTTCAGACTGGTGAACCTCTTTCGGGCTTTCTGTCTGGTGCTCTCAGACAGAGCTATCTGTGCCATTTTTGGCCTTGCCCATGGGAAATACGTTTTACGGGATCTTTCGTTACTGGCAGTGAGTAGGTAAATGAGCGGAGTTCTGCCTCCCACTGGGAACTTACTTTCACCTGGGAATGTCTCTCATTGTTCTGTTTGTTCTAACTCTGATTGTGTTTCTTCTTGGTTGGCAATGTCTGCTTGAGATGCTCTGAGAGTTTTTTGTTTGCTGGTTTTCATTTTTCCACATGAATGAGGTTTGAAACTGAAGGGACCAGCTTCCCTTTTGGCAGCCATAACGGCCGAACACGTGCTTCTATGACCTTGTCCTAGACACTAGAAAGTCAAATGCCTGCCTCGTGACAAGGAACCAATCAGAAGTTAGCTGGTGGCGCTATGCTTTAAGACCCTGGGTGTGCTTTACGGACAAGCGCACAGCAATGA